CATGCAGAGACGCTTCAAGCTGCTGGAGCAGGCCTTGATTGTCGAAGAGCAAATTCGTCGAGCGGCGTACCTGCAACTGACTCAAGACCCGAACGGTCCATTAATGCAAATGTATAGAACGTTCAATAATTTGCAATCGTTGGCGGAAACTCACCAAGACATTTCCGGCGGTGGTTTGTCAGGTAACGGTAGAGAGCTCGTAGTTCGTGGATTTATTTTTCCCTAACCTGAATGGCCGGCAAACGAAACGTACAAGATCGTCACCTTAAGTGGCGCACACTAGCAGCTGAAAACAATGAAAATGTGCGCCATTGTGGGATAACGATCTTGTACGTCTCTTTTGCCGATCTTCCAAATGATGTCATTTAGAATGCTTCTGTTATTCTTTGATATCTTCTGTCTGTTGTCATTGGACGTGCTTACATGCATGGATTTTCTTAGGTAATCGGCCAGCACAGATTGTGTACAAGCAAGTCTTGCAACAGCTGGACGAACTTCTCAGTGATCTCAAGCAGGACATGACAAAGTTCCCAGTCTCGGTGGCGCAGCTGCCACCCGTCAGTAAGCGACTGGGCATGTCGGAGCGAGGTATTCTGTCTCAACTGACTTCGAACAAGCTACCAGTCAGCTCGGAAGCCTCCACATCCGGCGGACCTCCAGTGCTGGAAGAGACGCCCTTCCCCATCCTTGACTACTACAAGGCCGGCCCGCAGTTCGCCACGCCGGCGGCGTTCCCGCCTTCATTGAAAGGTCTGGAGAAGGAAGGTACAGTAGATCCGTCTGTCTTAATGGTAGAACATACTCTTTGTTCACAATTAATTGGTTTGTGACGACAAATAAACTCTCGACTGACGGACTCAACAAGACTGCTTCCCCAAGTGGCGCATTATCTTTCATTGTTATTAGCTGGAGGCGTGTGCCACTTGCGGGAACAACTTGTCGATTCTGTTTGTCTAGGTCCTACATACAACCAGTATGAAACTTTTGGTTTGAATAGACTTCAAATTCGCAGTGTTTACAGTAAAATGTTCGCCTTCGCTTTAGATCCCATGCCATCGTCGAGTTCGTTGAGGGACCCGAGGGAGAACGGACACGGAAGCCGGAAGGAATCTCGTGAGAAGGCCGAGTCGAACCACGTCAACAACGGTGTCTCCATTGAGACTGCCGATGACGAGATGGACGGTGCTGGGAACGACTTGGACAGCAAACTGGTCATTGCCAGCAATATGGACGACGAGGATGTCCAGATGGACAATGGCGAGGAGGATCAAGTTCTGGATTTTTCGAAGAAGAACTAAGATATTTCTTTGCGTATCCCTTTTCTCGTACCGTCGTACGAAGGACTTTTGGCTGACATTATTAGCGATTCACTACTTCGCGGGATGTGTCAATTATTTTACTTTTATCTATTTATCTTGTTACCTGTTGGTCGGTGCACATGTGTTTTTTATCGGCGTTTTGTGGGATGTCTTGATAGGCAAGCAGACAGCATCCGTTCGCTTTTTCTCTTTTTATGCTATTCCCGTTGTTATTTATTGCTGTCCATACTTCCGAACTTCTGTTCTGTTTGCACTTTGACTATCCCTCTCTGCACCTAACAGTAGTGATCACTTTACTCTGTAGTGATCACTTTACACGAAGTTCCCCATTACGACGCATCGATTACGTCCATATCATTCATATCGGACTAGATACGACGGTACAATGGAGTACCCGCATAGCAGAGTTGCCCAAAGTCACATTGTGCGTCGCAAATCTGGGCACTGACAATGGCCGGATACCACTAACAGATAATGTTCCACTTTTGGAACTGACTTTCCGTAAGGCGATCAAACAAGCTGAAGGTCGCTTGCGCACTTCACTTCTTTGTGCGTCTTCGGTTGGGTTCTTCAATACTAAAAACACCCGGAAGTCAAGATGGCGGCTCGTTTTGGGATTTCGGTTATGTGCCTCGCCCTCATCGCTGGAGCGTGCTCTGCCCAAAGTAAGCTCCCTGAGGGGAGAAGTAAATCTACGAGGAAGACGATAATTCTGTCAAGGTTGTCTGTTGAATGGCCTTTCTTTTCCAGACGGATGTCCCAGCAATGCCGTTCTCGACGTGCTGAATACAACGCAACAGCTGGGTTCCGCCCAACCATACGGAAATAACCTAAAGTGCCGTTGGTCCTTAAACGCACCTGCTGGGCAGGTATTACTGATATGAACAGAACTCTCCGTAGACCAGTGGGGGAAAAACAACTGTAGAACTTCTTTATTCGCTTTTCCGACACCATCAGCAGCGATGACAGAAAAACTCTTACGGTCTTACTTTTGCAGACCATCGCGGTGAACTTTCCAGAGCGATTCGACATCGAATATAACTCTAGGTGAGTTGCATTGTGCCTGTTGAATACCTGGCGACTGGGACAACCTGCACATATTTCCTGGTGTACAGGTGCTCGTTCGACTATCTGATCATCTACGACTCGGCTGCCGTCTCAACTGTTTCCGGAAGGGCTCCATGCACGTCCCAGTCTGCCGTCCCATCCACCACTTTCTATGGACCTTACTGTGGTTTCACAGCTCCTGAGGCTTTCACCTCAAGCGGCAACCAGCTGATCGTTGAATTCTGCACCGACTCTTCTGGAACCGCCACCGGTTTCGATTTGGCGTATGCCATCAGTACTGGCCCAGCACCAAGTGGTACCACCTGTAATGAAGAAGTGGTCGTCGACAAGCGCCACCAAGTCATCAACTATAAGAGCAACGGCCAACTGCCTTCGTTCTCTAACTGCGCCTACAAGTACACCTCGAAGAGTGGGAGGCCCTTGAAGGTCTCTGCTACTCGGTTCGCCATCGAAGGAATCCTGGGCTGCCGCTACGATTACGTCAATGTCCATGACGGAGCTTCCGCTGCCGCACCGGTCCTGGGGCGTTTCTGTGGTACCAACGGACCTCAAAATGTACGATCGACTGGCAACTCGATGTACATTACTTATACTTCCGACGAATACACCAACGGAAAAGGATACTCGCTAGTCATTGAAGGTAAATTGGGATGTCGGCAAATGAGTTCAACATTGTCTTCCCAAGTGGCGCGCAGTTTCCGCCATTGACAATAAGAGCATGCACCACTTGAGACAACGATCCTGTTCGATTCATTTCCAAAATTGGAATTCGTTCCATATTGTTTTTTCAACTAGAATTTGGAAAATCAGTTTGGTCTGCGACTTTTACGGAAGTTTCCTGCTTTGCAGAATCTTGCCGAGGTACCCATTTGTGCACGGACAAGGCTAGCGACGACCAAGAAGACGTTTGCTACGAAGACCGACAACTCTGCGATGGTACTGCCCAGTGTCCTACTGGTCAAGATGAGGTTGGTACCTTCCTACCACGATCATACCCAAGTCGATAGGTTGGATATGTTACCAAACATTTTCGTTGACCGCAGAGTTATTGTCGCGAGGCGTGCGGAGCTTACCCTGCCGAGCAAGCCCGCAAGCATCTTCCCGGTGGAGTGGCCATCACCAACATCGATGGACAAATTCATTGTGGTGGCGCTCTGATCAACAACCAATATGTCCTGACAGCTGCTCACCCCTTCCACCGGTAACTCTTTGGTATAGCTTACCATGGCCGAGCACGAGATGGACATATCCCCTTTTTGCAGAATGGACAACAAACCCAGTTGGTTCCTGGCCAAGATGGGAGCTGCCAAGCACTCCGAGTCTGTCAACGTGGCCCAGATCGAACAGATCAAGATGCACCCAGGTTTCGACCCAAAGACCCTTGCGAATAACTTGGCTCTCCTCAAACTGAAGACTCCCGTGCCCATCCAGTAAGTACCTCGTCCAAGCACGGAAGTTGGTTCGAACTTCATCCGCCTCGAAGTAAACAAGAGAATGGTATGCTCTTTAGGGAGGCTATTGCTCCTTTCTGTCTGCCACCTGCCGGCGGAAATGACAACGTGGCGGTCGAAGGAAAAAGCTGCACCACTTTGGGTTGGGGACGAACAGCCGCTCAAAATATCAACAGCTACTGTACGGAATACTAGACGCACCGATTCCAGAACGATTAGCTTTATGGTGATGTGGTTTTCTTTGCAGCTCAAACGGTAAAAAACTTGACCGCTACAGTTGTGGCCAACAGCAGATGCTCGTGGAACACTGGCTCAAACGCATCGCCCGTCATCGTTGACCAGAGATCCATCTGCGCGAGTCTATCTGGAACTCTTTGCTACGGAGACAACGGTATGGACTATGTTCGACTTCCGCCGATTGGAATGACCGTGAAAAATCAGGAGTTGATATTTATTTCTTCCTTACAGCCGCTCCTCTGGTCTGCAAAAACAACAATGGACAGTGGCAGCTATCTGGCATTAACTCTGTCGCCTTCAGCTGTACCGGAAGTTCTTCCACTCCAGCGGCATATGTGAGGGTATGTGCGAAGATCTCACGCGCACTTTGTGATTTGCAAAGCAGTAAGGCATCCAGTGCACCTTTCAACATGGGTTTTTGCAGGTGGCATCATACTCTGAATGGATCGCGCAGAACGCATTCTGAGTAGAAGGCCCTTCAAGAAATACTAAGCAGACTACGCAGATTTTCTTGTCAATGATCACATCCAGATTCTTGTATCGGATCAGATGCCTCGATGAACATGTCGTTAGTAAAATTGGTGTGAAGTTTCGGTTGATACTGTCTGTGTGCAATGAAAAGAGAATATCAGGAAATAAATCGAGGCGGAGCGCTCTCGCGAGATGGAACTGCCTTGAAGCCACATTATGATAAAGAGTACAGACATTCGCAATCACTGGGACATGACCGTTATTGCTGATACTCCAGTGAACTAAGTCGTTAAATACCCAACATTAATCTTTGGGTTCCCATCGATGGAAGAATCTGTTGTCGTTTACGATCACGATTTACTGTAGAATTTTAGCTCCATGGGCGTTTTCTCTCATAGAAGTCAAGCACAGTAAGTGCAGCTCCATCAATAAAAGCTTGGTCGTTCATAATTGAGTCCTTGTGGTGTAGTGGTTATCACGTCTGCTTTACACGCAGAAGATCCCCGGTTCGAACCCGGGCAGGGACATTTTTTATTCTCGCTCTCATCGGTCATAATCACAGTGCGAGCAAGCGAGCAAGTTACAAGCACCAAACCTAAGCTTGTTGGATAAACGGTTAGGACCAAAGCCCGCATAATGACCGGCAACCGCTAACTTCGTAACACTTGCTTTCTCCACGTCGAGAAACGGATTGGGTGTGCGGAAGGCTTCCGCACGATACCCTGGTCTCTCTCTTTCGAGAACTCCAAGCAACGGGAAAACTCTGCCCTGTCTGCCTGTCAGCCGTATAAAAATCCCGAGCTTCGGCCTTTACTTTGTGCGAAACCAACAGTTTCGGAGACCATAACCCTGCAGTAATTTTCTAGATATACTATAAACCCTTGTCAATACTTCGTTCGTGTCACCCGACAACTGCTCCGTCATCGCCGCGCATTACTTCCGGTTCTCGGAAATACGTATTCAAGAAAAGCTAAATAGCGAGGACAATGATAGACAGAACAAGGCTATGGATCGCTGTCTTACAATTTGCTGCTTTAGCCATGGCGGGAGATTGCGCTGATCCTACCGAAAAACCTGTCTTACCAAAGTGTTCGGCTGGCGGAATGTACGATCCCGGTATCCAGCTCATTGCTGTTCTTCTCCCTGTGACCATATTTTTATGGAGCACCACCATTTTTCGGGTCTTCTTATAAACATTTCGACCAGCACGGCTTTGTGCACTTTACATGTTGAGATTATTTCACACTGAAATTTGTACTGCAGCTATCGAGGTTAGACAGCGTATTGCGTCTCGTACTGTGTATTTTGACAGCTTCGATATCAACTAATTATACCTACGACAGAGCGGTACTGGATGTATTCGAAATACTTCCGTAATTATAGCTTGTAATAACCCTTCAAAGTTGGGGCAGTGGTGGAAAAAGATACTTCGTACGCTACGGGCTTCTACATCTCGCAGATCGCCGACGGTCAGCAACATCTTCCCAAACTTGAGGTTGTCGTACAGCAAGTGTTCACGCAGCATCATCTGAGCCTGCGTTTGTAAGTTTTCAATATGTACTGAGCACGGATACTGCATTCCATGTGCGTCTACGAGAGCAAAACCGAAACTGAAACCAACCGAAGCTGTGAAGTAAGATCTCCCGGTTCGCCATACCGTAACGTAGAAACACCAGCTGCTTGAAGCGCCCCATGGCCACCAAATCCAGCTTGAACCCTTTCAGCTTGTTCAAGACGGTCGTTATGATGTACCACTGGTCTTCCAGAGCTCCACTGATTTGTAGACCGGGTAGAGTCTGCTGGATCGGTGTAGTGCGCAGCTTGTTGAAGAGACCAACCAGGAACAACTCATGCCACGACTCGTACAGCAGCAGGATCTGGAACAGATATTGTCAGATAATATTAGAGCTTAGTTAGATCATTTCCCCCTTGGATTCCTCTGTGTTTGCTATGGTCGATAATACGTAGTTCAGCAATGATGGATGACTGACCTGATCGCGGACGGGAATCGCGTTTCCAATTTGCGCCACCCACAGCACAGTTTCGTACAGGACTCCAACACATTGTCTGACCAGACTTATCACTTCCGCGATTTCACCATTGTTGTTCTCATACAGTTTGTTTTCCAGTTCTTCGAGACCCATTTGCTTCAGGTATGTAGCGACAAAGGCATCACTGCCGTTTTCGCTGCTGTTGGACTGGGCGTGGTCAATAGTCTTTGGGCGCCGAGGACCCCTTTCGTGCTGAAGAGCTATATGGTGAGGAAGAAAGTTCGTTATCCACGAGATTTAACGCTTCGTTAATAATGCATAAAGATCGGTAGAAGAGTAGCTAAAGACAGATGGAGGCGGGAAATTAGCTGGAAAAGAGCAGGCCATCGATTTTGTGAAAGGGAAATGTGCGTGGGAATCAGGATCTTACGCCGCACATGCTCGTCAAGTCCATCAAAGTTTGGACAGCTAATCTCTAGAGCAATCCGCCCAAACAAAGCGTCTAAACGCTTCTTTTATATCGACATACCGATCCGAAGGACCTCTTGTATGATCACGAGAGTTGACAAGTGTCAGATGTGAGAAATCGCTGATGTGCAAACTCGATCGCAATAGATCCACAATTATCGACTGTATATTTTTTTCACCTTATCTATTGCTTTGTCATGAAGGTCAAAAGGAAAATACCCACAAAGTATTCTGGGAAAGCTCCAAACTCACCATTCTTGTTCATGCCGGCTTCCAGACATCGTTCCAGCCGGCATGCCCGACACTGGTTCCGGTGAGTTTTATCGATGACGCACTTCGACCTTGCAGAAGGCTTGTTCTTGCATGTATAGGCTCGATTTCTGCAAAAGAAACATTCGAAGTACTTCTGCAAGATCCCTGCGAAATTAGGGGAAACATTTATACTTGTGAATACTCCGTTTGAAGAACCCCGAGCATCCGTCACAGCTGAAGATCCCATAGTGCTTCCCACTGGAGCGGTCTCCACACACCTGGCAGAAAACTTCGAGCAGTCGGTCTTCTGAAAGCGCACACAATTGTCATTCATACCCCTTTGTAACAAAAAATTTTGCTGTAAAATGAAGTTTCACGTACGCTGGCGGTCCATGTCCGACCGGCTCGAGTTTTCGTCACTGCCGACGGTGAAAGTATATTCTGTCCCCAACGATAGTTCAATTCCAAGGAGAAGCTTCACACTCGAAATTCATATGCCCCTAATCGCTATGGAGAATCAATGGGAATGAAGGACTCAAGTCCATTAGCAAGAATAACGGATTTATTCAGCTATCCCAGCCTATCCGGCTGGCAGCGGCCTCGTCCATGTTGGTAAATCTTCTTACAGTACGATACAGTACTATACCCATCACTCCCAGTTAGGTTTAGTCACGCTATCGGTCCATCAGAAAATTTAAATGCCAGAATATACGCTGAGAAAACTTGCACCTGTTGGATTTAATCTGCCGACTGATTTAATGAACTCATCCACTAAGCTACAGCCACCAAACTAAAGCGTATAAAATTAATAAAAAGGGAAGTCATATAGTTTTTCGTATCACAGTTCAACAAAATGAGCATTAGGATTCACAAGAGTAACACAAAATCAACTCTAATTTCCCTCACCTATCGCTTCGAAGTTCTTCGGTCTTCCACGAACTCAGCCGCCTCATCAAACTCATAGCTATCAAAATCCGCGATATCCCTTACGTTCTTATAAGTCTTCTCATCCAGCATGTACAGGTTGAAACTGAACGTTCCCGCTTTCTGATCGATCAGGAAGGCGCCGAGAGGATCGAGTACATCCACTATGCGTTGAATGACTAACCGGTCTTCCAGCTGGCTCAGTAGGCACTGCAGTCGATACCGTTCATCTTCTTCGTACTCTGTCAGTATTCTTGGAGGCGTCTCTTGGAAGGGTTCAGGGCTGCTCGCCTCTTCGTCTTCTTCGGAACTGACAGGAGGAACTGGAGTAGTCTTGGTCACGCGAATGGAAGTCAAGTCGGGAACTAGGTCGTCGCTGGATTCGTCATCAGAGAGCTCAGACACGGCTGCGTTCTTGACGTTCTCCAGAAGTTGGGATGGGGAAGTGGATCGCCCATTCACCTTAGGAAGACGGAAGCCCGTAGAACCGCGTCGAACTTTGGCGGAGTGTTTCGTTCGGATGAAGACTTGGTCTTCTTCTGAAGCAGAGGACTCGCTTTCACTCGCAGCAGGCTCCTGGTGGCTTTTCTGACCTATAATAAAAATAAGAGCTGTTGTCAGACCATTCGCCTTTCTGGCATAGTTTTTGCTGGTTTACCTGCTGAGGACTTTGCGATGGGTGACGGTGGAGAGATCGGACGAGGTGAGACTCGCATAGACGTGGGTACACCGAGGCGAGACAGCGGTTTTGCTGGCGGTCCCTGCGAAGAAGGAGCCGCGCTATCTTTCAGCCGTGACGTGTTGGTGGTACTGGGCGCGTTCTGGAACGGTTGAATGATGGAAGCTGGGCGAATTTTGGGCTTCGGAGAGACCGAAGGTTTCGGTACATTGTCTCGAACAGCCAACTGTTTCTGCGTCTTCGACATGTTCTGAGGAGTATTCTGCACGGGAGCCTTCTTGTTCACTGACTGAATCTTCTCTTCCTGTCTGTCTTTACTGCTGTTTGTGTCGCGCGGCTTCTCCTTTGAAGCGTCTGGTTTGTTTCGGAGCGGAACTGCTTTGTTGGGATCGAGCTTGATGTTGAACAGTTCTGCGAACTCTTCGAACGTGGGAACAGCGGAAAACCGCTTCGCGATACGATCAGTCGGACCTGAGTGCTTCATTGTCTGGATCATCGGACGTCCTGGAGTCACTGACTTGATATCAGTTTCTAATAAGCCAACACCACCTGCAAATGAAAAAGTGATGAGGTAACGACTCGACACAGAGCAGCAAGTCACAAGGCACGAAGGAAACATCGGTCACCCCCGTATTTTGCCTGAGCTACACGGGTGACCGACTCAGTCTCCTTGTCCTTAGCCCACCGAAAAAATACGCAGTCACAGCAACCCGAAGTAGTTACCCGCGTTCAATAAGGCTCTTCTGAACTCCATGTACGGGCTCTGGAAGGTAACTTTCTCGATCTGGAGGACGTTGCATGATTCCGAAGGGTTGAACGCGAGGTCATAATCGTACCGAACTTTTTGTAGCTGGTTATGATAAGCTTGACTTTGCGAAGACTGCTTGTCGGAAGTCGGTGGCTTGGCGAAGTGGATTTCGATGGGCAGCATGAACCCTGCATATCCCGATTCTCTCACTTCGTAAGGAGGCTTATCTACCACTCGAATGGGTAGCTGGAAGCTGTTGTGAAGGTGGAAGACGACTTTGCGAATCAACGGGCTAATGTCAGGAGCTCCCTTTGGACTGCGAAGGAATACCACCCAGTCATGAGTTGTGCCTAAAAACAGGAGAATAAGCAATGATGTGGCTGTCAAATCTGCGATTCTGAATAGCACTTATATTCCTTTTTGGAGCAGTCCCAGAAATCTTTCAGTTACCTGCTAGATCGTTCG